TTTTTCTAGTATCTTACCTAAACTTCCCCTTCTTCAGTTTGAACCCATTGCCCTTTGTCCTATAACAGCAGTTCCCAACAGAGTCCCTCTCCAGCTCACTTGTAGGCCCTTCAGGTACTGAAAAGTTGCTCTGAGGTCTCCACGCAGTCTTCTCCAGGCTGAACAGCCCCTACTTCTTCAGCCTGTCGTCATAGGGGAGATGTTCCAGTCCTCTACTCAACTTTGTGGCCTCCTCTGGACTTGCTCCAACAGTTCCATGTCCTTTTTATGTTAAGGACACCAGAACTGTGTGCAGTATTCCAGGTGGGTCTCACGAGAGCAGAGTGAGACCTGCTGCCCACCCAGGATTCGATTGGCTTTCTGGGCTGAGCTCATGCTGAGTTCATAGTGAGCTTCTCATCCAGTGTCACTCCCAAGTCTTACTCCTCACTGCTGGTTTCAATTACTTCCCAACCCAACTTGTAGCTCTGCCTGGGATTGTCATGGCCCAGATGTAGGACCTTGCACTTCATTTTGTTAGGCTTAGGCAGGATTAAGAATGTTTGGAAGGAATTCTGTGTACTTATTTTAAGTAACAGAGTTTCATTCTTTTCCCATTTCATGAATGATAAGAAATTAATTCAATGAGAAAAGACAGATATACTATGTTCAAAAGATCAAAAATAGCTTATCTTTAGCTAAACTTGTTGTTTGTATCTAAAGACCTGCAAAAATTGAAACGAAATTTAGTGCACAATAACAAAGTGAAAAAAACCTTGCTTTGTAGTGTGTAACGTTTCCATTTCTAGCCTAGCAGTTGTGAGGTTTGAACTTTAAATAGTGAAGCTCATTGGTATTTAAGGATTCTAATTCCATTTCAGTTTCAATCTGATACTCATATTTTGAATCAGCAAGTTCAATATCATCTCTTTCTGTCCTCTGCTGTACAAAGTAATATGGATACTTCTATTCCTTGTTTTCAGATTCTTCATCATTAGGATCTAACCCTAACCCAAACCCTAACCCTAACACTAACCCTAACCCAAACTCTAACCCTAACCTTAACCTAGAGTTCACTCTAGCTCTTTCC